CTTAATTAGGGTTCTAGCAAGAACGTTTTCTTACCTATGTGAAAGCCACAACGTGATTTGTCAACTTCTATTTACCCTTCATAAGGACCCTTTTCATCGAATCCGCTCCAACTAAAGTGGGAGAGACAGACACCCGCCAGCCACCTTATGCAACTAGTGCATGTTAGTCGGTGGAACCGGTCTCACGTAAGCGTACGTGTAAGGTTGGTCCGGGCCGCTTCATCCCACAATACCGTTGAAGCAAGATAAGACTAGTAGCGGCAAGAAAGTTGACAACATCTACGCCCACAACAAATTGTGTTCTACTCGCGCAAGAAGAACTACGCATAGACCTAGCTCATGATGCCACTGTTGGGGAACGTTGCAGAAAACAAAAAATTTCCTACGGTTTCACCAAGATCCATCTAGGAGTTCATCTAGCAACGAGTGATCGGATTGCATCTACATACCTTTGTATATCACACACGGAAGCGTTCAAAGAACGGGGATGAGGAAGGCGTACTCGACGTGATCCAAATCACCGGAGATCCTAGCGCCGAACGGACGGCACCTCCGCGTTCAACACACGTGCGGTTAGCGTAACGTCTCCTTCTTCTTGATCCAGCAAGGGGGAAGGAGAGGTTGAGGAAGATGGCTCCAACAGCAGCACGACGGCGTGGTGGAGATGGAGCTGCAGTACTCCGGCAGGGCTTCGACAAGCGCTATGGAGGAGGAGGAGGTGTTGGAGAGGGAGAGGGAGGCACCAAAGGCAAAGGTAAGAAGTCCTCCATCTCCCCACTATATATAGGAGGGCCAAGGGGGGGGGCGTCCCTAGGAGATCTAATCTCCTAGGGGGGTGCGGCCAAGGGGAGGAATCCCTCCTCCCCAAGGCACCTAGGAGGTGCCTTCCCCTCATAGGACTCTTCCTCCTTGAAACCCTAGGCGCATGGGCCTCTTGGTGCTGGTGCCCTTGGCCCATGTAGGCCAAGGCGCACCCCCTACAGCCCATGTGGCCCCTCGGGACAGGTGGCCCCACCCGGTGGACCCCCGGGACCCTTCCGGTGGTCCCGGTACAATACCGATGACCCCGAAACTTGTCCCGATGGCCGAAACAGGACTTCCCATATATAAATCTTTACCTCCGGACCATTCCGGAACTCCTTGTGACGTCCAAGATCTCATCCGGGACTCCGAACAACATTCGGGTTATTGCATATACATATCCCTACAACCCTAGCGTCACCGAACCTTAAGTGTGTAGACCCTACGGGTTCGGGAGACATGTAGACATGACCGAGATCGCTCTCCGGTCAATAACCAATAGCGGGATCTGGATACCCATGTTGGCTCCCACATGCTCCTCGATGATCTCATCGGATGAACCACGATGTCGAGGATTCAAGCAACCCCGTATACAATTCCCTTTGTCAATCGGTATGTTACTTGCCCGAGATTCGATCGTGGTATCCCAATACCTCGTTCAATCTCGTTGCCGGCAAGTCACTTTACTCATACCGCAATGCATGATCCCGTGACCAGACACTTGGTCACTTTGAGCTCATTATGATGATGCATTACCGAGTGGGCCCAGTGATACCTCTCCGTCATACGGAGTGACAAATCCCAGTCTTGATCCGTGTCAACCCAACAGATACTTTCAGAGATACCCGTAGTCTACCTTTATAGTCACCCAGTTACGTTGTGACGTTTGGTATACCCAAAGCACTCCTACGGTATCCGGAAGTTACACGATCTCATGGTCTAAGGAAAGGATACTTGACATTGGAAAAACTCTAGCAAACGAACTATACGATCTTGTGCTATGTTTAGGATTGGGTCTTGTCCATCACATTATTCTCCTAATGATGTGATCTCGTTATCAATGACATCCAATGTCCATAGTCAGGAAACCATGACTATATGTTGATCAACGAGCTAGTCAACTAGAGGCTTACTAGGGACATGTTGGTGTCTGTTATTCACACATGTATTACGATTTCCGGATAACACAATTATAGCATGAATAAAGACAATTATCATGAACAAGGAAATATAATAATAATGCTTTTATTATTGCCTCTAGGGCATATTTCCAACAGCTATGTGAGGCTTTCCTTTGCTGCTGGCCACACCCCGGAGAAAGAAAGAGACATGGCCACTTCAACACGACTGGATGTTGTTAGCTTGTAGCGTTCCTTCTCTTGTATGGGAAATTGCAGCTACCTCTCCACCATAGTGCCGAGCGCAATCACTTTTGTGTTTCTTTTGTGTTTCTAAGAGTATCCTAATAGATGATGTAAGACAACTCTGATGCGAAAATAAATATTTGTTTGAGGCATTTGGGCCAAAAAACATATCCATCACATGAGAGTACTCATCACATGATGTATATGCATTTGGTGCCCAACTATTTTTTTTTGCAGCAACCCCTAGATTTTAGCCCCAGGTGTTGCAAATATGCATCACCTCCACTGGCTGCCACAAAAACCCGAAATAGTCCCGTGAACGCCAAACCGCCATGCTGAAAGTTCTCGCTGCTCAACCCGCGGCCGCCACCGGCAATCGATCCACCATGGAAGGCACCTCCAATGCAACTGTCGATGCCGCTACCCTCACAACTGCTTTTGCCAGGCCCGCAGATGCCCTTTCGATGGTTCATGTGGTCGTCGTCATCACCAAGCCAAAGCCCGTGGATGTCAGCCGCCATTATCCGCCACCGTGGCCAGTGGGGATGCATCGGTCCACATTGTCGCCGCCAATCCTCCCCGAAGCCATGAGTTGCCGATGCTGGGAAAGGACACTGTGGGATTCTTCCACCATGGCTACTGCCGGTGCAAAGAGGAAGGAAGCAATCCTGATGCCACTGAGCTCTTCCATGGTGGAGGTGGCTCCTTCGGAACGGCCAAGGGTCTCTTCCCCTTCCCTTCCACCGCCACACGTGGAGGAGTCGACGTCACTCGTGGTCTCAACCGTCGGCGTCCCCAACATGTTCGACTAAATGACCTAAAGGTTTTTTTATGCTTTCTCCGGTTTTCAACTTTTGTCATGCCATTCCACTTTTTGTATGCAATTGAGATGTGATGTGCACATGTGTTCTTCAAATTTGGTGCATGTAGCACGGATGATCAAACTTTTTTGCAATTAGCAAATGTTGCATCTAAAGATTTTGTCCCCCAAGAAATCCCGTCTCAAGAATATGAAGCACAAGACGAGCCCCTTCTTGACATGGAAGAGGAGGATTTTCTTGATACAAATCCAAAGGGAAGAAGGGCAAACTACACTACTGCCAAAGACAAGTTGCTATGTGTAGCATGGAAAAAATAGTCTTAATCTTGTCATCGGCGTTGAACAATCAATAACCATTTAATGGAAGCGTATCTATGAGTACATGGATGCACGCAACACTAGTGGCATCAATCTTTCGCATGCTTCACTCCGATCATCAATGGACAACTATATCGTCGGAGTGTCAAAAGTGGCCGGCTTGCTTGATAGAACTTCAATGTATGAACCCAAGTGGTACAAATGACCACGAGAAGGTGATTTTTTGTCCAAATTCACCAGCTACTTTCTCCATCTCTTGTATGTATTGGTGGCTAACTTATTTTCTCAATTTTGGTATGTAGACCAACATTGCTCAAGAAGTGTACAAGGGATGAGGAAGACAAGACTCAAAGAAGAAAGACAAATCATTCACTTTGCATCATTACTATATGAAGCTTGAAAATGAGAAGCTGAAGAACCGCAAGTCATATGAAACTCCTAGCAAGAACTCCAAGAGCTCCGTTGGAGATGCAACACAAGTTGTTGTTGATGATGATGATGCATCAAGTGGCGAGGATGGAAGAAGGTGATCCACTCCCCACTCGGTTACTCCTAGAAAAAGGCCCGATGGAAGAAAGAATGGAGAAGACAAGTTGAAGAAGGGAGGAGACAATGATGTGGAAGAATCGTTGGACACCATCATGACTATAAGAAAAGAGATGGCCGAAGAAAGGAAGAACACAAAAGCTAAAGAAACAGTGGAGAGGAGGGAGGCCGAGGAAAGGAGAATGACGACCAAGGAGAGGGGGCGGTAACCGAGGAGAAGGCAGAGGTTGAGGAGAGGAAGGTGGCCATGGAAGAATGAATCAAGGGCATTGAACAAGGGCAAAAGCTCATGACGATGGACATAAGTGGTCTTGATGAGAAGGCAAAAACATACTTTGAGAGTGTCGCGATCAAGTGTTGGTGGCAAGGTCTATGGGAGGCTTCATGATGGAAGGGTTTGACATGGGAGGATTTATGGGTGGCACTGGAGGTGGCATGGGAGGACTGGGTGGCGTCATAGGTGGTATGGGAGGCATACATGGTGCCATGGCTATCTAGCGACATGAGAAGCATGGGTGGTGCCATGGGAGCCATGGGTGGTGCAATGGATGGCAATGAAAACAATGGTGGCACTGATGGCAATGAAGAGGAAGTAAGCCATGGAGTGGAAGCAAATGATGAAGAGGAAGCAAGAGGCAATGCTATTTGAGAGTGATATTTATTCATATATGCACTTTTGTTTGTGGTTGTGATGCACAAGGTACTAGTGGATTTGAACTTGAATTTGATATGTTGTTTGATTATGTATGTTGTGATCTCGCAAAGTTATAATTATCATATCATATTTTGTTTCAATATGATGCAGTTGTGGAGTAAAAGAGAAGAAGCCAATCTTTTGAGCAAATCATCTGTTAAAGTGACAACTGCTGCGGTGCCCAAAACCTTCTCTCTCATGCCCTAAAAACTTTTTTTGAGCACCAAGTTTTACATTATTTGTTGGAGATGCTCTAATAATGTTTTACATGGTGTTACAACAACATAACTTCTATACATTTACCAAAGACATGATCTAATCTTTGTAACTATCTCACAAGCTGCCTCCGGAATTGTCATTTGATCCCCATGTTCCATCTTGTGTAGCTCGTCTATTTTCTGATGTACAACCAAAAAAATCAAGAGTTAATCATGAGAGCCCCTACGATGGGTTCTCGTCATCCTACGGTGCTAGGCGTTAAGCAGCAAAGCCACCTTTTGGTCTTCTTTGGTCTCTTGGGCTCTTTTCCACTGTGGAAACCGTTCTGATAGAGGCCATCGCTATTCAGGGTCTCTTCTTCATGCACCTTTATTGTGCTCCTCAATGTCATGGATTTTGTCGTCGTTATGGTAGAAGCGGTCATGTTTTTAGGAGAATCACTTTCGCTAGCACCTTCCTCCCTGTCGCGCACCTCCTTGTCGGGCATTAAATAAGTTTGCCGGATCTCTCTACATAAAGGAAGACACAAGTTAAATTATAATGTAAGGTAATGCCTTCTTGACCATCAACTGAAACACAAATTTGACAAACAGTAAGTTCATATCTCTTAATGTGGACCTTGAATCATGAGGTGATGTGGCAAGAGGATACCCATTTGGGAGATTGTCTGTATCGAGAACGTCGAGGGTATGTGAATTTCTTGTACTGATGGCACTTCCTTCTTCCGACGTTGCATCATAACTGAGGAGCTTTCTGAGAGCACTGATGTTTGCAGATCTGTTGCCTTGAAGAACTGCAATGGCAGTGTCCAGTATGCCCAAAGCCTTCTGCACCTCAGGACTAATCATCGGTTTATTTTCGACTTGCTGTGCTTGCTTGACTGTTCTATCAGGACTAGTGAAAGACTTATTTTCAACTTGCTGCACTTGCCCGGCTGGTTGGTTAGAAAAGCCGGTTGCAAGATTATCCAGCTTAAAAGATGTGTTCTGTTCACTCTCTTCTTCGATAATCTCACTGCATGGTGTGAGATTAGTAGTGACTGCCAGAGGATTATGTACAGTGGGATTCTCAGGGAGCACTTCATTAGCGCTTTCCTCAACTGCAGTCACCTTTGCCTTGTCAGCAGAATGCTGGTACTCGCGTATTCTTGCATAGAGCGGTGCTCGTAAAGCTTGCTTGTAGTCTTCATCACAAGCGGCCACAGTACTAACAGCCTGCAGATAAGCCCATACACAATTAATTAACAGAGCATATTTCTCTCCCGGACATTGTTATTCAACATAAAGTATCACATGATATTTCTAAAAGAAATCCATGTTGTGACTTGAAATATGCCAACTTTTGGCCTCATCACTAATATCATATGTACTGATGTAGACTAGGTTTAGCTACTAACCTTCTGGTATAGCTTATGCCCACTGCCGATTAGCTGTCTGGACATAAAGTTGATCAGCCATGGGGGAACAAAGTCTAGCTTAATGTCCATATTAGCTACTGCCCTGAATGAGTGATTAGGTTAAAAGTGAAGGGCAGGTACATGAAGTAAATTTGATAAATACTGGTATAAAAAGTATGTGTTTAGAATAAAAGAGTAGTAGTAACAGACCTATTCGGTTTGCAGGATTTTTGGAGGATTTCCATAGGATTTTAATCCTCAGGTTTTTTTACCTATGTATGCATACTAATTCCATATGATTGTGTGCATGTTGGCCTAATTTCTAAGGATTCTTAGCATTAGATGAAATCTCATGGAAAATCCCCAAGGATTGAAGTGGAGAGAGGGCATCCCAATCCTATACTTTTCCTATTCCTTGGAAATCCTGCAACCGAATGAGCCCTAAAGGGTGTAGGAGCTTAATCCTTATGTCCAGTCTAGCCCTGGTGTGTGATGGTACGAGCGAGAGTCGGTGGTAGGCTCAGTAAAGTGGGGATTGCAATATATAACAATATGTCCATGGTTGTTATCTCATGCCCATGGGTGATAGGAGTTGGCAGCAGGCTTGGTAAATGTTCATATCCTAGTTAGGCCATGGCAATATGTAAGAGGATAGGCTCGATTGTTACCTCATGCCCATCTTGCAGACTGTTGATGAGTTTGTATTTATTTATTTTTCAAGCACACATAAAAATTAGTGATTTTTTTGTATTAGAGTGAACCCGCAAGTACCAAACCAAAAACAAGCAGGCTACAAAAAGGCCTACAGGGTACAGGGTACAGGCCTACAGGGTACAAGGTACAGGCCTACAGGGTACAGGGTACAGGCCAAAAAAAAGTTTTTTTACTTCAACGAATTCCCCTGCTTTCTGTGAAAAAATCATCCACAACAATACTCGTCTGAAAGGGTCGCCATATTGATTGGTTTTGTGAAAAGATAGTGTGCACAATTTCAAAGGCCTAGGGAGTGGTCTCAGATGACATATGGTGCTATATCTCAGTTACGAGTTATCAGTTGTCGAAATGCAAAATAAGACTTCACCTGAAAAAACTTCTTTCCTTGGTAATCCTCTGTAAGACAAAGCCTCCAACTACATCCATCCGAATCGTGTCACCAGCTTCAGGGATTCCATCTATAGTAAATCCATGTGTCTGCATACTGAGATTATCCAAATTGGATATCTGCAAAACAAGTCAATAAGCAGTAAATAAACAAACGAGGACACGGGCTATCAAGGCTGTAGGAATAGGTTCTTAAAAATAAAAATCAACCTACGCACAGTTTTCATGATCACAATGACAAGGTCTTCTTTAAGATACTCAAACTGAAAGTAGTGTAGAAGAGCTTCTCTCTCTGAAACTGGCCAGGGGACCTTCACCCTTTCTTCCAAATAGCGAATAAAAAAATTAGCTACAACAGCTATAAAAGGGAGGTCAAATAAAAATGTAAGAAAGGACTCTTTAGAGAAATTTAGTCTTCAACCAACCTGATCAAAGAAATTTCTTCACCAATCCGAATCTTTTTCAAGCAACCTGACTGAGCGATTTTAAATGTTGGCAGATTGTACTGCGGAAACCTAGAGAAAAACAATCTCATAAGTTCATGAGGGAATTCATTTGACTAAGTTGTTGTTTTCTATGGCCGAGGTTGACTTCAATGTTCAAGTACACCACGGGCAACATGTTTACTTTGTAAAACATGGAGCATCACGTATGAATCAACACTCTTTTAAAACTTTATCTGTATGTAGTGGGCTAATCCAATATTTATTCTCTTGAAAATGGTGTAATCCAATCATTATATACTGGGTGAAAAACAATTTTATGATGTCTTGTCAAATCACTGCATGGTGTTTAGATGCACCTGTACAGCATCAGTAAAGTGGGTATTTGCATGCTATGTGGCTACTGGAAGTAAAATCGGCACGGGTGGCAGACTTGTGAATTAGGCACCAATGTGACTTGGGGAATCAAGGAGGAGGATTCTAATAGCATAAATAGTTTGCCTACAATGAAGAGCACGCAAAAGTAGTTAAGAAGCTGAGTTAAGAACCACAATCTATTTGTTCAATATAAAGAATTTTAGTGGTACACAAGTCAAACAAAATTTTGAGAACATCATGTGTAGTTCCCAAGAATGCGAAGTTAAATGTAAAGATGGACAATTATTATCTTCAATAAAGAAAGCAATGTACTGATCTCATTTTTCTACAAAACAATTACACTCACCATTTTCTGTATAGACCTGATTCCCATGACACACATGTACCTATGAATAAAAACAGCAATCTTAAGTGGCTATCTGAAGTTATTGTGTTTTACTCATTAATGCGGGGTTATAGTTCCTTACAAACATCGATAGGACCATCAGCAAAGCCTTCAGCAAGAAGAGTATGAAATGGGGTCCCATCTGGACCTTCGCGGTACATGACCCGTAATTGGTCTGTATCCTGCTTCACCTACAAAACAGAATTACCGAACATTCAAGCAATTCATAGAACTTGCACGAAAACCAAAGAAAACAATTAACCACTCTCTAAACGAGGGAATAAGATAAAAGAACAGCCAACTTTGGAGCACAATACTAAACTACAAACAAAGGTAAAACATTTCACTCTTGGTGGTATGTATTTTGACAAGGGTGCTGCTTATCCCTGAAAGCATCATTCTGCTCCCGAGCTCAAATGGTCCTGCTATAAATAGCATAACTCAAGAAAATAGCAAAAAATATTTAAAAAATCTAATTTTTATTTTAAAACAAACAAATGTTGCTTAGTTCTCTCCGTACATGTAAACTTCCGTGGTGAAATAACATTCGTCGAGGTCTGGGCAAAGAAAAGGTGTTCCAAAATGTTTTCACAAATAGTCTTTTTGTAGCATCATTTTTTTCCAGGGCATTACAAATGTTTTTTCTTCACGAAACATTGCACACAGGTGAAAAATGCATCAATGTTTGTCATAAAAAAAGTTCATAGCTTTTTAGATTTCATTGCTATTTTCTTTCTTAGTTTAATATTCATCCACCTGGGAACCAAAACTCCATGTCCGCTTTATCCCTCTCCTTTTTGGTAGCCTACAATAAGCGTTCATGTTTTGTTTTTCTTTTGTTTCTGTTTTGGGTTTTGGTTGTCACCACCCTTGTATCTTGGGCCTTGTGGCATTCTTCATGTTCACAAAAAAAATGGTAAACTATTGCACTCTTGAAACATAGAATAAGAAAGAAATCAGTGAACTGATTACGCTATGATGCAAAACAGTAAAACATAAATTTATTATTGCACATTCTAATCACATAATGTTCACAATACTTTTGTACAAGCATATTAACTTTAGTTAATTTGTATACCTTCCACTCCTTCTGTTGTGGCCCACGAATATCTGAAGGCCGTTCATTTCCTGAAGTGTCTAGCATTTCAAGAAAATTCGAGACTTCTTTGGCTCGTGCTTCAGCAATCAAATCGATGTTGCCTAAAGAAGGCATAACCCAAAAAGAAAAAACACACACATGTAGGCTGGTATAGAAATGAATCTACAATGAGAAGCAAATTTGGATGGGAAGATACAAATCACAAAGCAGTTTAATTTAGTAATACAAAAATAAGAGGTGCCGATGTTATTCCCTTTGTATTTAGAGGCATATTGTGACCATGATTTTATAACTAATAAAATATAAGTTATACACAGCAAAAATAATATTGTCGGCAACTATGTCAAATACGAATCCAACGATATAATTTTTGGTGACATGCATTAACATTTTGTTAGTTAATTATATGGTCAAAATTTTACACAAAATACCAAGGGGGTCGATAAACCAGGACGGAGGTAGTACTATTGAATCTTGCATTTAATCTTTAAATTCAACCAGCAATTTAATTACACATATGGCACATTAATGTTACCAGGGAATATTTAGCAATGGAAAAACTCACACGTTTCTAATGGCATAATAGGAGGTAGAGAGAAAAGTAATTACAACTACTAGTGGTGGAGTACAAATGAACTAGCTAACCAAAGATGGACCAGAGAAAAAGTAATCAGACCCAAACCTTGGTCAGAGCCAGGCAGAGAGGACTCCAAAATCTGGTTCTTGACCAGAGATCTCAAAGAGCCCTCGTCGGCGAGATCAGAGCACGCCAGGGTCTTGTCCAGACGCTCGCGAAGCTCCAGGATTTCCTTCCTCGTCTCCATGGGCGCCGCCACGAAGCCCTACGAGTACCTACCTGGACCAACACCAGAAAGATAAGAGTTCTGAAAACCAAAAACGCAGAACTTGTCCAAAACCAAACCGATCAAACGAATATGGAAACCACACGAGGCCGAAGATCCCCACGGCCAGAAAGGCTTCCAAATCTAAAAGCGTCAGGTATAAGAAAGGAAAGAATCATTAAAGGCCTGCGCCCCAGAGGTGGAAAGCGAAGGCCACTCAAACGGAAAAATTAAGGAGCTGGGCTCATGAAATTTGCCAGCGCCAACAAGTAAAACGGGAAATCCAATCCAATCCAAGCAGAGACAGAGTTCCAGATGCAGAACAGAGCAGCCCATGAGTGTGGGAACAGAGGAGATACCAGATGCGCTGGATCGAAATTAGGAAAGCATCTGAGCCTCGCTGGACGCTTACCGTGTGCGGAGATCGATCCCCGGGACGGAGGGCTGGGCCTCGAGCTGGTGGCGATCGACGAGGAAGAGGGGCGGAAGGGAGACGGAGAAGGCAAGAGGAGCAGGGAAGCTCAGCCTCGATCGGCTTAGTTGTTGTTGACTCTCGTCGGTGCTCGTGCGGCCCACCGAGCCGACCGAGGAGTTATGAGGGGTTCTTTTCCCTCTTCTGCCCACGCGGGACAGATTTCTGTGCGCTGTATTAATCAAGAATTAAGAAGTTGGCTCAGTCTTTTGGAGGTGCTCATAGGAGTAGGGTGTGCATGTGTGTTCATAGGGATGAGTGTATGCGCGTGTATATGAGCGCTTGTGTCTATACTGATGCTCAAAAAAGAATTAAGAAGTTCCTAAAAAAAGAAGTTCTCAGCCTGAAGTTTAGAAAATTCTTATTTCGGAATTGGTGTTTACAAGACAATCTGTGAATACTCTCTCGGGTCCTTTTTACTCCGCACATTAGCTTTGTCTGAAGTCAAAGTTTGCTAAGTTTGACCGAATTTATATTAAAAAATATTAACACCTATAACATCTAATAAATATAATATAAAAATATATTCCGAGATGGATCTAATAATAAATGTGTTGTTATGTAAATGTTAATAATTTTTCGTATAAACTTGATCAAAGTTGGATGAGATTAACTTCAGACAAATCTAATATGCAGAGTAAAAAAGACCGGAGGGAGTACATAAAATAGATCGAGAATGGTGGAGAAGAGTGACTTAACCAGCAATTGTGACCGTTTTCACTTTTCTTATATAAAAAGGGTTGGGTATTAATTGATAGTTAAAAAAAGATTTTAATTGCATGATGATATTAAGTATGATGTTTTTTTAGAAAAAGGATAATTGCTTGTCCATTATATGGTTATTAGTTCTATCATTAAACATTTGGCATTATATTGATTGCTGCTAAACATGTTGAGCACTCGCCAAATTTAGGTCGTTGGTTGCACATGGTTTGATAGGCGAGATTAGTTGGATCTGCCCCTTTCTGGCTTTCTATATTGGCGATGATATACTCCACTATACTAGGACAATGCTCGTGCCTTGCAACGTGATATAAATATCTAATAGTACATTAGCTTGTGATTTTCCTGTTCGTCTTAATTCAAATATGTAAATAATATTCATAAAACCATGTCCGTGGTTTATCTTATAGTTTAATCAGAAGTTTGGTAAGTAAATTAAGATGAAATTGGTTTAAAAGGTAAGTAAATTAAGGTGATTGATTTTAACATACAAAGAAAGTACGGACAAAGGGTGTGGCGGGACAAAAAAGCTGGTTGGACGAAATAAATCGGTGGAGGGGCATGGTAGGAGGTGGAGAACTGGTTGATGAAGAACTGCTTTTTTTAAGTATATATATAAAAGGTAGAGATATATAGAGATATTAAATTAGAAATAGATATAAGTATAGATATAGATATAGATGTATTGGTCGAAAGGAGGAACAAGGACCAGCTCTAACATTAGTAGATAGGAGTGAGGCTCGAACCGGGAGGTAATTGCACAAACCATTAAGTATTGGTGTTGATTTTGCATAAAATGTCTATTTTATGGGTGCGTTGCACGGAATATTACATATTGGTGTAGTTGGTTGCAGTTAGGTCTAATCCAATGTTTAGGTGTGTCGATTTGATTTCCAACGGATGGGCCCCGCTTATAAGTACACATGTGGCAAAAAAAACCTAACCACGATAGCCAACCAACCAAAACGATCATTTCCCAAACCTTTTTGGTCCAACTGAGATTAAAGTTTCCCACATTAGTATTGTAGTAAATGTAAGATTTATTGGACCTTTTTCGTATTTTATCAAAAGTGTTAAATTTTAAATCAAAAAATCGAACGAGGGTAACTAAAATTGCCAATATCTTTCGAACTTCTAGTTCAAATGAGAGTCGGGATATTCCCAGCTCAGTGTTAGGTATGTTTATTGTTTACTATATTTTCCTTATTTTGTGAAAATATTGGATTTTGAACCAAAATTTCAATGAAACAACTAAAACTTTAATATCTAGCAAGACATTGGTCCAGATGACTTGTGTTTTTCCCAGAATAGTACTATTGGATACATGTGTGATTTGCTAGATTTTGCTAACATTGTCTAAAAACGTGTAATTTTGATTTAAAAAATTTGAACGTTCCAATTAAAACAGCGATATGGAGTCCTCGGTTTGACCCATTGGCTGATGTGGCCAATTTTCTTTGCCACGCCTGCACTTACAAGCGAGATCCGCCCGTCAGAAAATCACAGCAACGTACCTAAATGCTAAATTAAACCTGATTGCAATGAATTAAACCAATACATGGTGCTTTGTGCAACAAACTTATAGAGTAGATGTTCTGTGTAAAATCAACACCAATAATTGGTGGTTTAAGCCTAGTTTGGCAACACGGTTTTAAGAAAACTATAGTAATTCAAAACCTCAGTTTTTCAGTGTGAAAAATGAATACTTCGGTTTCCAAAGACCGTAGTTTTTCTTTGTTTGGCAAAACAGCATATGCGGCTGGCAAGTGCTATTTTACCATAGTTTTGACTCATTGCATCAATCTCAGCTACAATCAATTAGATGATCTGTGTGTAGAAACATTCACCCAATGCAAACATCCATGCCATGTACGTCTGGCCGTATGAACCGACAACTAGCTAGCTTTAACATGTACATCTGTGTGTACGAATTGATCTACTCCACAAGCAAGCTTCGTTCAAGTCATGTGTAATGGCCAGACAGCGACCGGATATAAGGGTACAAGATCGCTAGAAAAGTAACATGTGCCCAGCCGCCGCCGGCGGCGGCCATAGAAGGACTAATCACCTAACTGAAACACTAATAATCAGAAGATAGATTGAACTTCGTTTAACGGATATATAATATATTGAGGAGTCGAAGGAGGCTGAGCGCTCCCCCAGTTTCTTTCATCTCAGTCTAGAAAAAAGAGGTCGGGGTCTTTTTTCTAGATACAGCAAAAAAACTACAGTATGAGAGATACCAGGGTATTCTAGATTGGAGTATTTGTTTCATCCAAACATCTCAAAGTATTTTATACCAAAGTTTTTTAAGAAACCATAATAATATTCTAGAAAAACTGCAAAAATACTTTGCATCCAAACGCACCCTTAGTTTCTCGAAAAAAATTTGATGGTATGTGCAATTTCCTCCTCAAACTGGAAAATACCTTGATGAACTCGGCGCTGGTGCTCCATTTCATTCATACTCATAGTGAATACTCATAGTGAATACCTGGAGTGTTTTTTTTCGGAGAACCCGGAAACCGGAGTGTATTTCTTGAGTTAATTCCTGTCCCGCTCTGGTCCACACGGTACAGTTATTGCCTCTGCCACTCAAACACCATTACACAAACCACCAATAGCCAACAACATTTTCGTCTCTATCCTTTTCTGTCAAGGTCAGTCTTCAACATGACACTGCCCTTCTCTTCTTCACGTTCTTGTTCTGTATTATCGTTATCAATTTGTGCATGTCTGCCTTCATTCACAACGTAGCAAATATTGGTATATTTGGAAATGTCAAGGTGACATTTTTGCCTGATCATTTATTTCAGTATATAGATTTGAAAAAGGTAAGAATATTTTCCAAACAATTATGAACTGTTTTCTAACAAGGGACTAGCATTTTTTCCAAAGTATTAACATTTTTTAAATATATTTGGCACAATTTTTTTGCAATATATGTACATTTTTTAGGATGGGAACAACATATTTCTGGATAACTAAATATTAATATCAGGAAAAATTTGGTTTTCACAGAATATTTTCCTAAACAATAAAGAACTATATTTCAGGCCGGGCCAGGCCCAACAAAGCCCAAAGCAGAAAACCTGGGCCTGGGCCCGGCCCAGCCCAGGCATCGGGCCAGGTATAGGTGACGCCTATTTTTCTTCTGCGCTACACCTGAAATTCAAGCATCTGCATATTTAAGAGGGGTCTTTAGAGCAACTCCAACGGGCCGACACAAACGGACGACGCTTTTGTCCGCTTTTTATCTGTTTGGGTCGGTCCGGCGGAGACAAATGTCTGGAGTTGTGTTTGGGTCGGCGCGAGCGCCCAACGCTGATCCGACCCATTTTGTCGGTGCGCCAAAAAAAAGTTTAAAAGCATTTTAAAAATAAACCCATGCATTTAATTAAACATAAAAGCCGGCCACGAAGGCTGGCGAAAGTCCACATTACATTAATTAATATAAAAAATTAAAAACTAGACGACGCACTGCCCTAAACGTCCTCGTCGACGGCGGCGTCTGCGTCGGGGCTGGTGAGGTCGATCAGCGTCAGCACAGGGCCGCCCCAGGGGAACGCCGTGTTCCAGAGAGTGGTGATGTCGGGCTGCGTCGCCGCTGCCTGGGCCTGGCGCGCCTTCTCTTCGGCCTCGCGCTTGAGCATCTGCAAGCGCTCGCCCTCCCGGCGCTCCTCGACCAGCCGAACGCGGCGCTAGTGGTCGAGATAGGTCGCCTCCTGCTTCTTCGTCGCCCCGAGCCAAATCGGCGGAGCGCTGACCCACTCGCACACTACTCCGG